AGATTCTCTTGCGAAATGTTTTATAGAAATAATTTTCAACCTGTAATTTAATATCTGCACTGTGCATGGTTGTCCCTTTAAAATGCACTCCTTCATCTGAACCAAAAAAACATTCGCACTTTTCAATCCCATGAAACTCGCGGGCATTACTAAATTAAAGTTAAAATCGAAATCACTACCTCGTATAGAACCGAGGAATTGGTATCAACTCCACTCAAAAATCTACAGTTTTGTCCCAACACTTCATGTCTCTTGTAACCTACACAAACATTCAAACAAATAAGAACTGTGCCAAGACCTAATAAATGTTGGTTCTAACAAAACCGAAACAAATTCTCACCAGTCAATGTCAAAAAGGCATCACTCGCATACACAATAGGCATGTCGGGTAAGCATGGATTGGTTCTGCAAAAGTTACCAGAAGAATCTCATGAGACAATCTATAGTAGCAAACTTGTAACTCCATAACAAAACTAAGAACAAAAAAACTCACAATACGAAACTTTGTTTGATTCTACCAAGAGAAATAACTAAAGACGAGCTTAAACAGTCTGCACCACGCAAGCAATACCGCTTTCCACAGACCAATCTACCACTCAATTCGCTGTAACGCGTTAAGATAGATAACACATTGTTAATCCCTTCCGCAGCTTTTAGCTTCTCGGACTCACTCGCTTCACAATGTTCCCAATCCTCTAATCCTGCAGTATAACAAATGCTCACTACAAAGATTAAGAACCCTCATTGAAATCTCTCTGAGGAATTTCATCAAACAAGTAATATGCATAACTAGAAACCGAACCTTGTTCATCAAATTCCACTGATAAACCTCGATCCTGATTCACAAAATCACCCAAACAAACCTCTCTTCGACAAGAACCAAACACCAAGTCAGAACAATCCGACACATTCCGATGATGATGTTCCCGTCCCGTAATCGGAACCTGAACCGCCACAAAGTTGATCACTTTACCATCATCTCTCCCAAAAACAGGAACCATATGAAACAAGATCCAAAACGCCGATCCAGACTTCCGATAATTCAACAAACTCAATTGAATCGATCTCTCTTGACGAATCGCTTCACGAATCTCCATGATCGATCTCCGATTAGTCTTAGGTCCTTGAAAAGCCCTCCCATTTCTTCCGATCACTTCTTCTCGAGAGTACCCAGTCATTTTCAAAAATCCTGAGCTCGCGAAAACGATCGGGTGACCCGAGAGAAACGGGTCGGTGATTGTGAAATTGTGAGGAAGCTCGTCTAATGCTTCTTTGATCCATAACGAGTAACGAGCGTTAAAGGA